ATTTTTGGCATAAAATGACCAAATAGTCCAGCAAAAGACAAGAAAACAGTCAGGAATGGACGCAGAATTTAGATAGTAAGCTAGAAAACCACTCAAATTTGGAGAAAAAACAACATATTTTTTGGCATAAAATGACCAAAAAGTCCTGCAAACGGCCAGAAATGATAAAAAAAACTACATAAATTTGGCATAAAATGACCAAAAAGTCCAGCAAAAGACAAGAAAATGGCCACAAAACTACAATAATTAGCTACAAAATGGCCAAAAAGTCCTGTAAAAGGCCAGAAAATGGACACAAAACTACAATAATTGGCTACAAAATTACCAAAAATTCCAGCAAAAACGATCAGAAATCGACGCAGAATTGAAATAGTCGGCTAACCCTAACCCCGCTCTGCTTTATATTGTGTATTTCCTCCTCTCCAGGGTTCCTGAGCACGGGGGACCAGGCGGCTAAAGGCAACTACGGCCTTCTGGACCAGATCCAGGCCCTCCGCTGGATCAAGGAGAACATCCAGGCCTTCAAAGGAGACCCCAAGAGGGTGACCATTTTCGGGTCGGGCGCCGGGGCGTCCTGCGTCAGCCTGCTCACCCTCTCACATTACTCAGAAGGTGCCTTTTATTTGATTTTATTTGCCTCTTTCCTTCTTTCTCAATTATTTTCTGTTACCCCCCCTAGCAAGAAGAAAACTATTCGTCCCCCCACTCCCCATCGTGACTATCCATCTCTGCATAACATTTTATCCTTATTAACATTAAGGAAAAGAAAAAAGAAAGACATATGGTCAAACTTACAAAGAATAACTTTATTAAATCGTGTTTTAAGTCAGAAAAAGAGTTGAAGTGCATCAATGCCTGAAATTGAAATTAAATAAACCCTTTTTTATACTGTAAACATGTTTGACCAACTAATTGCACCATTGCAAAATGAAATGAAATCAATAAATAATATTTAATAATTATAATAACTAACTAGAAATTTTAAGAAGAAATTTTGAGGGTTAGGGTTAGGGTTAGGGTTAGGGTTAACCCTTTTCTTTTCATCCCTGTTAAAAACTTTTTCATGTTGGGGTTTGTTGTGTTGAATAACGGAGGCTACAGACAGAAGGCACATGCTAACCGAGGCTAACCTGTCGCCTTTAAGTCGTAAAATGTTGCACTGAAGTAACGATGAGAAGGTGTGTGTTTTATTTTATTTTCTCTGCCTCTTTCCTTCAGTTTAGGCTTTCCGCTCACGGCTCTATAAGGTTAAGCGTCACAAAATCCAATGAATTAAATATTATATAATTATATATATAATTATATATTATATATTATATAATATTATCGTGAAATACGTACCTGTAAATCCATCATAAAGTGATTAAAAACGTCATTAAATAATTCAATGTAGCGCTAAATAATTAAATTAATCATTAAATCATAAAAGGCATTAGTGAATAATTAAACACTTTGTGGGATTATTTTTAAAAAATGCAATTAAATAATTAAGTCTGCCCTTTTAAATAATTGATTCAAATTCTAAAATGTTCCTTGAAAGAAAAAATGTGTAATCAAATATATTGACTACTGTATTTATTTATCTCATGTTGCCATGAAATAGTTTGAAATGTCAATCAAACTCAGTGGGCGGGACTTGTGTCGTCTGATTGGCTGTGCCACACAGCAAGCCGAGCCAATGAACGATAGATAATGAATGATGGATGGATGGATGGATGGATTTAATAATGGATGGATGGATGGATGGATGGATGGATGGATGGATGGATGGATGATGGATGGATGGATGGATGATAGATGGATGGATTTAATAATGGATGGATGGATTTATTAATGGATGGATGGATGATGGATGGATGGATGAATAGATAACTGAATAGATGGATGGATGGATAATTGAATATATGGATGGATGGTTGGATGAATAGATAATTGAATAGATGGATGGATGGATGGATGGATGGATGGATGGATGAATAGATAACTCAATAGATGGATGGATGGATGATGGATGGATGGATGGATGGATGGATGGATGGATGGATGGATGGATGGATGATGGATGGATGGATGGATGGATGGATAAACGGATGGATGGATTAATGGATGGATGGGTGGATGGATGGGTGGATGGAATAATGGATGGATGATATATGGATGGATGGATGGATGGATGATGGATGAATGGATTTAATAATGGATGGATGGATTTATTAATGGATGGATGGTTGAATGGATGGATGGATGGTAGGATAGATAGATAGATAGATAAATAGATAGATAGATAGATAGATAGATAGACCTGAGGGTGTTGGTGGGTGATTCAGAGTGTTGCTGACCAATAGAAACGCCTCCAGGCTAGCTTGTGTATCCGGCCTGTTGCTGATTGGCCGCCTGTGAATCTGAGCTAACAACACCCCGGTAGGAGGAAACCGCCTGTGGGGATGTCGTATAAATAACAGCCTCTAATGAACGGACGGATAAAAGCCAAAATAAGAGGAACGAGCTGAGTCATCTTCTCCTTCTGAGGCCGGATGCTAGCCAACAGCATTCCAGCCTCCAAACCTTTAGCCTCATTGTCAAAAAGCTAACGTCTTATTCCTGCTGTTGGACGTCCATTATGCTCTCCAGAAAAAGGAGGATGTGTGCGGTTCCTGGCCAGAGATGAGAAAGAAAAGAAAGAAAAGGCTTTGATTCGATTTCAAACAGGTGGCTGGGTCAAGGTTTGGTAGAACAAGGGGAACAGGAACCATTTGTAATCTCCCCGTTTGGCTTTTTCTCCTGTTTTCCTCCACAATCTGCTCCAGTTTTCCAACACCCTGAGACACTTTTAGGGTTTCCAGTGAGACCAGAAACATTAAAACCCTCCAAAAGATGTAACATACGTACAGAAAATAAACCTGGTCAGGAAATATCCGGGGTCCAACGTTCCCACTTGATCAGAAATAATTACGCAAGTGTCTTTTTCAGCTGTCTTTTAACCGTTTATTTATTACCATGTTTACTCTCCTCATTTATTAGCGAAAAAGCCAGAAAAGGGACCTTCTTGGGGCAGGTGTTGTAGGCAAGGCAAGGCAAGGCAGCTTTATTTTATTTTTTATTTTATTTATTTGAATAGGGACAAAGCACATTAATGGACATCAGTGAAAACAAATGTAAATATGCCGGATTGTAGCTACAAAGCTAATTTACATCCGTAGTCCCTAGGCAAGCAAAGGCATAAAAAAATAACATATAATAAACAATACAAGCATCACAATTAAAAGTTTAGATTTTAGTGGTCACATGACTGGCTTGCTTTCATCCAAAGTTTAAATTGATCTCTAAAGCTGGTCAGTGTGTGGCTCTCCCGTATGTGCATTTGTATAGCACATTTCAGCAACAGGGTAATTCAAAGTGCTTTACATAAAATCAGTAAAAAAATAAATAAATCAATAAAACAGAAGAATAAAAATTACAGTGCAGTATAAGAGATTAAACGGTAAAGAAATGAACGTCATTTAGAGAAAGGCAACATCAAAAAGAAAGCTCTTCAGCATTGATTTAAAAGAGCTGAGAGTAGCAGCGGACCTGCAGGTTTCTGGGAGTTTATTCCAGATGTGAGGAGCATAGAACCTGAAAGCTGCTTCCCCCTGTTTAGTTCTGACCCTAGGAACAGAGAGTAGACCTGTCCCAGATGACCTCAGAGGTCTTGGGGGGTCATAGTGTACTAGCAGGTCAGAAATGTGTTTTGGCCCTAAACCGTTTAGTGATTTATAAACTAGCAGAAGTACTTTGAAATCAATTCTTTGAGACACAGTATCCCCAGAAAAGGGACCTTCTTTGGGCAGGTGTTGTAGTATCTAAGGCTTTTTTGGTCCTAATGAACAGGCAGGCAAAGGTCAGGAATACGAGGCAAGACGAGACTAGGAATGCTTGGCGACTGACAAAAAGACAAGTACGAACACGTGGTAGTATCCAAGGCTTTTTCGGCCCTAATGAGACTTCCGTGTATTGCCATGTTTACTCTGCTCATTTATTAGCGAAAAGCCAGGAAAGGGACCTTCTTGGGGCAGGTCTTGTAGTATCCAGGGCTTTTTTT